AGGGAAGAGTTGAGCCACTCATGTCTTTCTTTAAAAAAAAATTTTAAGTTTTTTTGGATGGAGGAAAAAAAGAGAATTTTTCCGTTTTCTACTCCTTCCATCTCAAAATGAACTTGTCATTTTTTCTTTTTTGGATGTCAGAAAGCGTAGTTTAAACTTCCTCACTTTCTCGTTAAGGAAGTGTTGTATGATTTACAGGTCAAATGAGATACAGTTTCTTTACCTACAATTGTCAATTTATTTGTTAAAATAATCTAGTCAAGTCACCTCATGTTTTTTTTAGAATTTTTTAGATCATTTTTTCATTTAAATTTTATACTAATATTTTAAAAAAATTGAATTAAAAATAACTCCAGTCAAACTTAGTTAACCGCTGTGGGACAGCAAGGGGAGTACATGGTTCAAAAAGATTCTCTCCTCAAAAAGAAAATTTCAAACACTTTTCTTTAACCTGTAAACTTACACCTTATAAACCTCATTTGCTGATGACAAATGCTGGCAGGTGTTGCTGGGTTTGGTGGTTTTAGCAACCAACAACAACCAGGCGGCGGTGGTGGCGGCTTTTTGGCGTTTGGCAATCCAGCTGCCGCCAGACCATCGTCTCAACTCTTCACACAGATGAGAAAGTAATACACAAAGTGCGGTGGAGCATCGGAGGCCCTCCTAAATTTGGGATGCAGGTTTGGCTTATAGAATGAATGTTTTGTTGTCATGTCTCTATTATGTTCGTTTCAAATTGGGGCTTCATATTTCCTATATATGTTCGTCCCAAAATTAACTTCTTTTGCTCAGTGTTTGTAAACTTTGACTTTAAATAGCATATAGTCCTAATGTTTTAATTATTTGTGTATTAAGGTTAAATTACATTTATTAAGGTAGTGTTTGATCCGGGGGGGGGGGTGGATATTTTCTTTCCTAGAAAGAAGATTGTGAGCCACATAAAATTTCCCAAGACGAGGAGAAAAAAAGAACAGAAGATATATAGATTGACTCAGTGAGTTTGTTCATCTTTCAATGTAGTTTCACTATTTTGATTGTGATGCCAATATGGAATTGGACTGTAGTTCATAGGGCAATAATGGCAAATTGGAACCATAGTTTTTTTGGTTATCTGTCAAATAAAAAAAGTGAAGACAAAATACTTTTTCTACTTTGGAAAATTTTATGTGGTTCACAATCTTTTCTTCTTCTCTGCATCACTTTAACTATACAATGTTTTTTAAGTTTCTGTCCGACTAAATGAGGAGTTTTTTAGATGAAGTTTATAATATTAAAAGGAGTAAATTACCAAAATAGTATTCAATAACTATGTATTTTTTTAAATTAGTCTCTAAGATGAATTAATTAGCGGGATAGCACTCATTAAATGAGAAAAATGCCTAGTTTAGTTCCTCGACTAATGGCTGTCAAAACGAAGTCAAAATTTACTCCGTACTAATTTTCCAAAATGATTCTTTCGAATTGTGTATTTAGGTTGTGTTTGGTTGAAGGTAAAATATTTTTTTTGAAAATTATTCTTCAATCATATAATCCATTGTTTGGTAGGAAAATATTTTCCTTCCACTAATGTCACCAAACACATGAAAATGGAATCAAAATTTTTTTTGAAAAATATTTTATGCCCAATCAAACACGCCATTAGTTAAATTTTTAGAAATCACCCCTAATAGGACTAAAACATTGTGTTTATCCCTAAAATAGGAGTTCATGTTTTTTATCCCCCAACTAGGACCTCTCCCGCCATATTCTTTCTTTCTCTCCCGATTTTGCCCTCCTTTTTCTTTCCGCGTCACACTTCACAATCCTGCCCCGTCTACATTACAACTCTTTGTAATACACATTACCACATTACATACTATGACACTTTACATTACAATGGTTTGTAATATTCATCACCACATTACAGATTATGACACTGGTAATATCCACATTACATACTTTACTGGACTATCATGAATTTTTTTAATTGCATATTAACCATTGAATATTTTTATTTTTTTGTTATGCATTTAAATCCAACATGTCCACAAGACAAATGATGAGACCATATGATACAACAATAAAGGATTTGATTTTGAAACACAAATTTCCTTAGTAATTTAATTCACATGACCACAAGAGCTCTAACCACATGACCGAATCTAATTGAATATTTAACAAATATGTAACTAGGGTTAAGAAATTCATCTAAAATACAAAATACAGCTTTGATTTCCAAATGCATGTAAAATTCTACTCAAAACTTTCTCCTTATGACAAATCTTATCAAAAATCAACCCAGCTTTGATTTCCAAATTGCTTTTCAGCGCATTTCGAGTCAACACATACCTTTTTCTTCTTTGATTCTGTCAATGTCTTCGGCCTCTGGTCTTCAAAATCATCGTCCGCCATTTTCTTCGCACTCTTCTTCTGCTCGTGCTCTATCGGACCATAATCGTATTAGCCGCGTTAGATTTCTGTGTGTTTTTATGGTAAATGCTTTAGGGCAGGATTTAGAAGGCGGTGTAGATTAGAGGGAGGGTATTTTTGGGATGGCGACGGAAATTAAGTCCTATTTGGGGGATTTAAGTTTTGGAGTCCTATTTCGGTTTTTTCCCCAATTTTTCATTTTTGAAATAAAAACTCATTAAATACATAGAAAAGAGTAAATCTTATAGCACGAAAATATATAAAAGTAAATGTTTCAAGTTATTTATAATTGTTTAACAGAATATTATGTAAACAACCTGTTTAATACTCTTTTAATCTCAAATTAAGACTCATATTAATAGAAAATTTAAGACCAATTTTTTGGTTATATTTTATTGAAAATAAGTTTGGTCAAATATCATAATTCGAAGGATTTGAAGTAGGAGTCTTGTCTCAGAATCATAGTTAGTACTACCTCCGTCCCAGAGTATTTGTCCACTTTCATTTTTACACACCATCCAATACACTTCTTTAATCCATTTTATCTTGTAATTTGTATATTAAAAAATTATAGAAATTATATATTAATAATCTATATGTTAAGACAAATCAAACAAGATCACACATGACTATATTTAGGCTTACACATTGAGAAAATTTGATGATTCAAAGTACTTAAATGAACAGTTCTAAAAGTCAAAACTGGACGAATACTCCGGGACGGAGGGAGTAATATACGGCTGACGTATAATACGTCGATACGCATATTCTGTATAATACGTTAGAATTTTATAAAATACGGCTTACTATGCATATTAAACGTTCGGCATACGGATACAAATACGCACTCGTTTTAAACATTTTCTATTTTTAAAATACGTCTTATTATATATTTATATATATTATCATATATAGGTCAAATTTACACATATTTATCGATTGATAGTCATCAATTTATATTAGGGTAAATAAACAAAATACAAAAATCTTATAAATGAAATATTTACAATAGATTTTTTTCAAATTAGAATCTCTATTTATTTAAAATATTTATTTGAAAAAAAATATATACTCCCTTCATTAGGAAAAATATCCTCATTTGACTTTCATGTACGTATGTAGTTTAAAAGAATGTTAAAAATAAAAATTTTATAGTTTGAATATATTTAGAAAAAACGAATAAGAGTTGCTTGTATGTCGCTCATTCTTTTATAAAAAGAAAATAAATATTTTGAGGCATAAAAAAATGAAAGAGTGAAGTCTTTTTTTGAACTTGACAAAAAATTTAATTTTTTTTTTGTAGAATGTAGATGGCATATATTTTTTCAAATTGATTAAGTATTGTATATATAACTAATAAAAAGTAGAACTCGTATTTTGTTTAAATATTTTTTGGAACAAATTAATATTTGTTGTTGTACAAAAACATTTATAATGAAATATTCAATTCATACGTACTATACGTAATTATACGTATAGTGTCAAATATACGTGTATTTTAAAGTATTTTTGAAGACCATACGGATACGTGAGTATAATTTGCGTATTATACGTACATAAGTATAATACGGGTTTTGTACGCGTATTAACTAACTAGGCTCAGAATAGATGAAATTGCTTATTCAATATTTATTTTACGTGATATTTTTCTAAATAATTATAAACAATTTAAAATGTTTGCGTTCAACTTTTTTAAATCATATTTATAGTTTTATTCATTATATTTTCATCCTATAGTTTTTAAAATTACTTTTTTTATATATAATGACTTTTTATTTTAAAAAAAAGACCTGTTTAAGAAAACACACAATTAGTGTATGTTTTAACATCGTTTTGAAGTTATGATGGCCGTTAGCCGGAGGACTAAATTGAGCATTTTTTTCAGTTAACGAGTACGAGTACTATTTTGGATAATTAATTCATCTTGAAAAATAACTTAGGAAAACACATAATTATAATTATTGAGTATCATTTAGAAAATTTTCTCTATTAAAAATCCAAAATTTATGTCCTCGAGTCACTCACATTCTTAAATAACATGATAATAAAATGTACTCCTTATCCCCCTCAAAAAAAGTACTCAACTTTTTTTGCGATTCTATATTTTAACGAAGAGTAACTATTAAACCAAGACGAAAAAGTATTTGGAATCAAGTTAGACAGATTTTCAGTTGATTCGATCTCTTTGAATTTTGGCATCTTTTAAAAATAGCTTGCCATTTATTTATATTCAAACAATTTAAAAAATTTACAATGTGAACTTCAATGGCCTGAGTTTTAGTATAACAAACAAAGAACCATGAACATAACATTCAATAATAAAAAAAATAAAAATGAAAAAAATTCAATTTTAAAGGATCAATTAAAAAATTTCCTTTACATATAAAGTAGACTAGGTGTACTAGTTCTTATTCAGTATCTACATTTAATACTCCCTCTTCTCACGAAAAAACACACAATAAAATCTACACGATTAAATAAAGTAAAATTGGGTGATCGGTAGCGCAAAACGTAAATAAAAAATAGTATGACCCACACAATGTTTTCTACACATTGAAACTAGAACCTTTTTTTAGGACAAATGAAAAAAATAATGTAGAATCTTTTTATGGGACGTAAGTAGTATAACTATCAATAAGAATTCAAAATAAGATTGAAATAAAAACAGGAAAAATAGAATTTTGTAGTCTTTGCTAGTCACAAACACACACCAGTGGTATGAAAGTATGGCCTAAAGGAGAGAAAACTTGCAAGGCCATCATGTAATAAGCTGCCATTTGCCAAAGCACTAACCCACCATTTTTTTTTTTTAACTCAAAGCCTTGAACTCATATTTTGGATAAATAGAAAACATTCCATAGGTCACACTCTTAGACCAGCCCGGACACGGCAACCACCGTGCAACCCGTTAAGAGCCTTCTCGGACGCGATTAGGCAATTGAATCAAAGTATGAGTGATGAAACGATTGTATTTCGTGGTGTAACAATATCATCATCTCAAGGGGAAGTATATATAGAGACTCGAATATATAAAGCATCCGAGATGAGCGTTCTATGATATCAAAATTCAACACAAGCTTTACTCGGGGTTTCAACCTGCAAAATTCGATGATAAGAAGATGAGAGAGCAGAAGGGGATTGTACTTGGTGAAGGAGATAGCAGTTCAAAGCATATAACATGATAGAGTAGATTCCACAAATGGTCCTCCATATTTGAGAATATTTCATATTCAGCCCACACTACTTTGTGAAATTCCATTGGAGGTCCACTTTAACTGTGAGCATTGCCAATTTTAGTCATCTTTCCACCAAAAATCCTCAAAATGATACAATGGCATAGGTCTAAAAGTAGCAATGTTCCAAGTTTTCAAGGACCTCACTTGGTATTTAATGACATAGAGGATTGGACCTGAGTGTTGACGATTAATATTGAGCTCTGATATAATTCAACATATAGTGGACTAAAATCTAAATGATAAATATCAATAACTATAAAGGACCATTTACGGAATTTCCACTGTGGATGAACTTGGACACCATTCGAGGTACAAAAATATAATGATTTCCTAAAGTAAATTATTACTTCATTCATATATAAACTTCACAAGTTGTTTTTCACGGTCTCCAATACTAAATCTTTGACCATCATTATTTTTTTTATATATACTATGAAAAGTTATAATAAAATAAGACTTCAAAAAAAACTGACACAAAATGGTCAATAGTACTTTGATATTATAGATAATCTAGTTTATGAAAACCCAAACGTTATAGTTAATGAGTTTTGACTGCAAAAGTCAGAGCATGGAGTTTAATTTAGGGACAAAGAGAATATATTTCAAGGAGTTTTGACTGCAAATGTTAGATTTAAATGTTATACTCTATAACCATCACGAAAGTAGACACTGATTTTACCATAACATTTCCCATGAATATAGTCCACCCACATTTTTTTTATCCATGTAAATTCGGCAAAAACACATCTTGGAGAGAGCTTATCAAGAGATTTAACAAAAATACCAATGTGGAAGCTTAAAAAGAAGTATGCGAACGAGAGAAAATTCGACTCGTGCTTAATATGGAGTATATGCCAATGCATGTTATCTTGTGTGAGGAAATGATTGCTCTTACCTCTGAAATATATAGAGCGGAAAGACTAGACAGTATTTACAGTGTCAGCCAGACACCTTAGTATACATCCCAGACCAGCTTTCTCGGTCAACTTTTCGTGAATCCTTAGGCATTGATCACAGGTGGGGCGGTCTCCAGTAGACAAGCCTCGGTAAAGATACCTGCAAAATGACTCAACATGCCAATGATGATATATACAGGTGGTATGACACACTTGTCAAATTTTGTTAGTTTTGATGAAAAATAGTGTATTTCAATGCACCAAGGCAGGAATTTTGTTTGGAGATGGAGGCCCTAATTGCTAAGTAGTGATTATTTCATTAATTACTGCTCCCTCCGTCCCAACTTAAGTTGCTTGTTTACTATTTACAGGGTCAAATTTTAACCATGTTCTTTACCCATTTGAGAAAATAATATAGTCTCGTCATCTCTTGTTTTGTAGAACTTTTGATGTAGTTTTTAAATATATAAATTTTGTTTTTTAATTATATACTAATTTTCAAATAAATTGAATTGAAAATAACTTCAGTCAAGCCTCGTAAACAACAACAAGCGACTTAAATTGGGAAGGAGGGAGCAGTCACTTGAAAAAATGACATTAGACGAGCAAAGGCAAGCTATGTGGCATAGATTCTTCAAACAAGTTCCACTTCTCATCTCATAAACATCTTCAATTGAATACTTGGAGGAGTCTCGACACTCGAATTCTTTGTAAAATTTGAAAAATCGGTGTTTCCTTGTTCCCGACCCATCCCTATCTATGTGCAACTTTGAAGGCAATAGCCATTATGCCTTAGTGGCTGGGCTTAGAAAGTTATTTTTAGTCCCGTGTAAAAAGTACTAACTACAAGCGACAAATGAACGTGTGCGCAACGATAAGTGCAGATCAGATGGATACACATGATACTTTCGAAACAGGCAAGACAAACCATTAAAATTCTATCTTTTAAAATAAGTTATCAAAAAAATATATACTCTGTACTATGTATCCCCTAGTCAAGGTCACACCAGTAATGCAAACATATCAGAACATTACCAAACAAGCACATTCTCCCCCATTTTCCACCCCTCCACCCTCTCTCTAACCTAAGTTGCACCGAGACAAGGACGGGGTTTAAAAGATGGAGATATCAACTTTTCCAAATCCAAATTTTGTAAGATTGTGCTTGGGAAGTAGCATTTCATTTCAATTCATGCATTTTAATTCCAAAATTTGAACTCTTGAATTTCAAATGAAAAGGGGAGGTATATGAATTTCAATTTGAGCTTTGTTATGAATTAGAGTAATTTCACTCAAATCCAAATTTAAATTTTTTTTAGTTTTCCAAACATGGAATTTGAGCCAAATCCGGATTTGAAGTCCAAATTCAAGTTTCCCAAACATAGCATAAAGGATTTGGGTGTCACGACATTTCCAAGTACCCAAAGAAGGAAAGTAGTGTTTGTTTGAAGAGTTTGTGCAACATAGCTTTGAAGAATCCTGGAAACATAGCCACCCCTAGGCCCTAACTGCTCAAACCAACCCGGTGACACTCCTCCACATTCTGCCCCCACCTTCAACACCATCCAACAGAAGGGCTGGTGTCATGCCACAATATCACATTCTTTTACCAGGTGTAATCCAACATGAACATTGTTTTTGCACTTAAACGATATCATTCAACGAATCTACAGAGTATATAGAGAATAATATAAACGATAGAGAATACATACTTCATCAAAATATCGTAGTACTCGGGATCTAGGGAAGAGAACAAGCTGTCCAGATCCTTTATAGCCATTATTGCCCTATGGACTACAATCCAATTTGCAGACTACATATTGGCATCACAGAAAAATAGTAAAAATACAATGAAAGATGAACAAACTCAATCAGTCAATCTATATACCTTCTTTCCCTTTTTTTAATGTTGGACAGAGTGAGAGAAAAAAAAGTAAGAAAAGATTGAACCTTGCATCTTTCATCTTTAGTCACGGGAGGAGATCCTTCGAGAGCAGTTTTCAGAGCTTCAACAGGTTTAAACCTAACAAAAAAGGCATATTTATTGAAGAAAATCAGACCATTTTTCTATGCGTAGGCACCGGTTAAAAAAGAAAAATTCTCAGCTTTAGGGCTAAACAATTGAAATTTACTGCTTCAGTAAACTTTCGATCTTCCTAGATTTGTGCTCAATTCTTGTGATTATAGCTTCGGCGTTGTCAGCTCCGACGAATTCCGCCATTCACATCCACTCCAGCCCTGCCGGCCGTCGGAATGAAACGAAAAAGTTGATAAAAGTAGACTGTTTCTAAATAAAAAGGAAGGAAAATTCCCACTCTCTATTTCAACTTTAAAATTTTTTCATTTCTTGTTTTCTATAGAAGCAAAAAAAACACCCGTATATTGTCTCTGCCAAGTCAGTTTTAACTTACCTCATAGATTTAGTAGATATGGTTTGATGTCTTGGGATTTCAAACAGGGACTTCAAACCTTCATTTTTTACATTTTTAAATATACATCTTCTAAAACTAAATTAATAAAATTTAATTATTTAATTATTTAATTAAATTGAAACAAGAATAATTAAAAAAATTACATTCATTAAATTAAAAGAAATTGAAGCGACAATAGTTTTAAAAAATTACATTCATTAAATTTTAAAAAAAGAAAGCGACAATAATAAAAAAATACATTAATAAACTAAGGTAAATTATATTTGGCCTTGATCTTTTTTTGTCTTCTCTCGAAGATCATACCTTTGAAACCCGATAACTTAAAAAGGTCGGTTTCCATGATTTTGATCTCTTCCTTCTCTTCTTTTCTTCTCGCCCTCTCTTCTTCTCGAATATTGAACACCCGAAGTTGTTCAATCATTGTCTGACCGATATCGTCGTGACAAGAAACAGAAACAGAACCTGAGGCAATGGATATTTCCTTTTTCTTCCGATCGGCCGTGGAATGGGTCCTCGTCATCAAAATCCGCAACGTTGAAAGGAGGCCTTTGTTCGGACGAACTGATAGTGTCATCGATCTCAACCTTGGCGTCAACGGAGGATCTTTTCTTTGACAATCCACCGTCGGAATTGTTGAGTTGTTGCCACTTCGGTGAACGGCTCAAAATCCTCCAAAGATTGATGGGCACCTTGCCTTGTTGTCCGCCATCTTGATATCGGGTCGTGGCAAGTCGGAGAACAACGGCGTCATTCATCATCCCGCTCCTCCGGGACCGGGCGCATTCCTCGTAAACTCCGATAAACTTTCGAACTTTACGGCTAATGTGGCTTCATTTGGAAGTGAATTGGTCCCGGGTACGGTAGGAGCCGTCCTTGTTCATCGTCATGAAGAACTTCTCCTCGATACGATCCTACATCGCATCCTTCGTTTGCTCCGAACCTTTAAAAATGTATAACACGAAATTTTTTTAACACAAATATATAACACGATTATATAAATAAAAACATAAATATATTAGAAAATATATAATTTTTACCAACAATAGGATGCTAGGAGAAGTCAACCCAAGCCGACGCAACAAGCACTCTTCCTCCGGCGTCCACTTTTGGACTAACCGTGCTGCCTCGGTCATTGCTTGAGTGTCTTTAGCTTTGTGGCTCTTTCGGATTGCACTTTTTTGGTGCCGGATGGTTCCGGTTGAGTCTCCGGAACCGACTCCCGCTCATAGACATACCCCGATGGTTGCGTCTCGAACATCGACAGATTACTCCCGAATTGTTGGAAGATCCACATGACGTGCTCGTTAGGCTCGAGATCATCGAGAAAGAAGCCGGAGCCGGAAGGATTCATGTTGAAAAGAGACTTGGAGAATTGGAGAATTGAAGAAGATATGAAGAAGATTGATGAGAATTGGATATTGAAAGGTGTGAGAATGGGAGGAGATGGATTTTGAAATTTATTAAAAAAAATTAATTATTTTTTTTGCTTCCAACAGCTAATTTAGCCGTTATAGGGGGGAAGGTTGCGTCAAACGTATGACGCCGCGCCGAAGTGTTTAACACCACGGTGGAGCCCCATGGGGGCGGTGTTTAACGCCCTCTGGGCATTAAAATGGCAGTGACGCCCCACGGCGTCACCGGTATTACCACTGATCTTATACGAAGTACAACTTAAAATTAATCAATATTCTTTTGCTTAGGTAATACACTAATACCTCGAGTGATTCTAAAACATTTTAATTTGTACTTGTGATAGTTTTTCTTTTTGAATAATTGTTATGTAGATTTCGATAAAATTTCTTCTCCTGCACCACACAAATGTGAATCTAATATTAACAATGGAAAATACTTTTTTGAGAAAAGAATTTTTCTTTTCACCGAGAATAGTTCTTTCGTGGTCCTAAAATCTACATATAAAATATTAAACCTTTAACACTTTTCATTGACTAACAAATGAATCTTTTCTTTTTTTGTAAACAGTATAATTCTTTTATTATATTAATACACTAAATTCATAAAATTAAGATAGACCTCAGAACCACTCAACCACATAAGAATTTGCCTCCGACCAAATAATGGAAAATGTGATAGGGCAATAATTTTTCTTAAAAATTATTTTCCCCTGAAAATATTTATGGGCCTAATAGCTCTAAACCCCCATGTGGTTTGAAAAATAGGCACCAAACCCCCCCCTCTTTTCAATACTTAATCTTAAAATTCCTATGGTTTCTGAAAGCAGCGTCTATACCCCCTCCATCGGATTCTTTGTAAAGCGTGAATCATACGCTCCGTTGATGGGCTGGAAATTTGATAAAATGGGGGCATTGGTGCTCCATTTTCAAACCATAGGGGGTTATCATGCGATTAGTTTATTTTATTATGACAAAAATGTCCTTCATCCAATGAACTTTTTTTTCCATGTTCCTTATAACGCAAATGATTTTTTTAGAACATTAAAAGTGTCATTTTTTTTATTTTTAAGACGGTGACATTTTCTCTTGTCTATAATACTTTTTATCTTATTCAGTTTTTCATTTCTTTTTGTATTAATTTTTTCATTTATTGTATTTCATTTCCTATTCTTTATTTACATGTCCCAATTTTTTACTCCGTATTTTATTTTGAAAAAGCATAA